CATAATACACAAATATTGCTTGCTTTAACTACTTTTATCGCTTCCATACAGACAGCAGTATTTGACGGAATTACTATTGTACTGAAATAAGAACGATTGAGAAGGAATAATGTTTTGTGTGGGAAAGAACAAACCTACCAGCATGGTCGATCATTTCTTGCGAAATCCCAGTTGAGAGAAGAATCCAGATGGCCTCCGCAAGGAGGCACCAATGTTTCCAGTAGCGGTGAGGCAGAAATTGTTCCAGGCACGGAACGCTGTAGAACAACAACCAGTTGCGCCACTCGTTGGCCTTCCAATAGCTCCTCTCACAGAGGGAGCGGGGCAGACGGCTGATGCTGTGAGGTGGCCGGATAGACATCAGGAGCTTGTTGAGAGTGTCGAGCATTCGAGGACCTCCTGGATATGTTACAAACAAATGGGTTATCTAATGACCATACCAAATGTGCTGATTTAATAGCAACGGCTACTAAGCTTTTTCAGTAAGTTACGTCTTTTCTAGGGGAAGAGATGTTTTCTTGAAATCAAAGGAAGTTTTTCTTTTTTGGCTGATTGATACTTTAGCTATCTGAATTCTTAAAAAAAAACCTATGAATAAACTACAGTCTAAAAATATGCTTTTTGTGTAAGGCATTGTAAAAATATTTGGCACTAAAGAAAACCAGCCTCTGGCGTTAATTTCCTCCTTCGAAATGTTCCAACCAATGAAACACATTGACAAAGAACTTCAATCCACACATAAACTCAAGGTACTACCATGACATTCTGCAAGCTAAAGTCTGTCCGCTATGGTACCGTCACCATGGCAAGGAAGTGTCAGCAAAATAGACTCGCGCAAGAGCCCATCATTTGCTGCCAGCAAGAGCTGGTGCCATACCCACAGGCATTGTCTGCTAGGAATGGAGCACCAGTCAAAGCTAAGAGCTGGACCTGAATACTGTGTTCGCCTATATCCTGTTGTCTTAGGTGTCTAGCTTTCTGAATTCCCTTGGCAATTTTGAGGAAGTTTGCCACAAGCTAGAGCTAAACTAAAATAACTTCGACGGATGCCCATAGTGATCAGGTAAGCTTATGCAGTCACGTGAACCTTGCGATCACGTGAAAGGTTACATGATCACATAAGGTCCTGTCACTTCACGCGACAAATCAACCGTTACTGGTTTTGCAGTCCCCTGACACAAGTTTATTTTGGCTAGAGTCAAATATTCGATTTGAGCCTGAATAAACTGGTTTAAGAGGAATGCAAAAGGAGTAAGCACAATTTTGATAACCCGAACCCTAAAAACGAAAACTAAGGCGATGTCAACGTAAACAACACTAAAGTTTTTTTTTCTCAATTTCACTTCCCGATTGTCTGCGAAAATCCCAAACCCTTTTTCTTTTTAGTTAAAGGGGTACTGACAAGGCATTTCTGCTTGCCAAGGTTTTTATTTGTACATGACATATGAGAGCCCAACTATCCAGAACAGACTTTACAGCTCGAAATTCGTTTTCTTTCCGCCCGAAAACCACCGATCGAGAACTCGCCGGTTTCAATTGCGCTTACTGTCGTCTCCGTGTTTACGTGCCATTCTCAATGGTTTAGACACACACACCAAATATAATCAGTCGTAAGTAATCGAAGGCACACATGGAATATTAAAAATAGAAAAATATATGATAGCCATTATTTGTGCCCTCTAGAAAGCTGATTGAGAAAAAAAGTTGCACAGAGAACTGGAAGCACCCTGTGCATTCTCTGCACCATTCTCAAAATGGTGTCGTATCGCAGGAGTCGCGGGCTGGACGGCTGAATGAAGTGGACTAAGCAATGGCAGTGGACGATGGGCGTGGGACCTCTGCTTTAGAACTGCCGTTTGCGGTACCAGCGAACCTGTCTAGCTTCGAAAGAGAGATTGTACACAAATCAAAGCAATTAAGATTTATTTCGTATGACACGCTCGACCACCAAGCTGATTCACACGGACGTCACCAACTCGGTGCCCCTTCTGGCTGAAGGCATACCTTACCCTTACGAACACGAATTGGTCAAAATCAAATTTGGGGGTGTTACGTGCCAAACCAACGACGGGCATCTGGCACGTCCCAGTGGAGGACTGAGGATCCACCTAGGGATCTTTTGATGTGCAGCCGAAAGCTCGGTTACACGGCGCCTCCTCCGCAAAAAGCCTCCGTCAGATTGCGGGCACCTCGGCCGGGATTCGAACATGCCACATGGGGATCTGTAGGCCAGCACTCTCGCCTCAGAGCCACCGAGGCGGCTACACGAATTGGTAAGAGCTTAAAAAACGTGCAGAAGTCATGTGACCTCTGACGTGCGCATTTTTCGTCTGCTTTGCACAACCAGAAAAATTAAGGAAACGAAAAGAAAACGCGGTCGGGTGTAGTTACATGATTTCCGGCAACTCTCTCCTCCACAACATTTCTTCCCCTTCCCCAGTCCAGTTTCCAGCAGTTGCGTTTTTTCACTTTATTAAAAATATGTGATATGCTGTAGCAAAATATTGATTGGGTAGTCTTCTGACACCATATTAAATTCAAGAAAAAAAGAAAAATACACATTTGGGGGAGTGTCTGTGTCCCTTTAACATTTTATATAGTTTGGAAATTCGCATTCTGAAATGTTTTTTAACATGAGGTCATTATGTACACAAGACTTACCAATGTAATACCTTTCGGCACAGTTTGAGGAATCCAGCAAGTGTTCTGTCAGTTGCTTCGTGACGCCAAGAAGGACGGAGTGCATATACTCGCATGCCTGGCCAGACACCAGGTCATAGTGCTTGAGGTTCACCAATGGAGAAGGTCCCTTCAATCCATTTACCGTTGAGTCATATGCAACAGCATACTCCATGTCGCGGAGAACGAGCTCGTGTGTTCGTTCTTCACTCTGCTGTGCCTCTGGATACCTCATAGCACCTGGTAAAAAAAAATATTGCAACTTTTTGTAAGGGCAACCAAGCAAGGGGGCAGGTACAGTTAAAGATAAAAAAATATGATTAATAGATAATGTGACAAAAGGAACGAGAACACGTTGAACAGATCTCATATAATTTACCTTCAATGTGTTCCCCAGGAGCCAAGCACCATGGGCAGCCGAAGTAACCGTTGAAGAGAACTTGGTTCTGGACGGCAGCACGTGCCGGAGCATCGACACAAGAGCATACAGCGTAGACTTTTGAAGTCACTGTTCTTGAATTTGACTGCCAAACTATGGGGCTCATGTTTGAGAGATGCTCGACGAACTTGTCCAGGAAAAGTGACATGTTCGGATGTTTTGTGCCGAACCAAATGCCAGCAACTCCACTTGCCAAGAAACGCTCGGAGGCCGGCACTTCATTGATAACAAACTGGAGAGGCCACACAGACGCCTTCGACGACTTGAAAATGGGGCTTCCGTCTGTGTTGAAGGTGATGGTCAAGTCCCCCCACTCCAATGCACCACTGGTTTTGAGTTTCTTGTAGAGGCTTCCATCAGTGAAGTCAGATATCGTCTCTTCAGACTTGTCGTTCAATTTCTCTAAGTTGGTGAAGAGCCCCTCTGACGTCTTGCCGATAATCTGCCGCACTTGGTCGTGTAGATCAAGGATGGTGAAGAAGCTGCCCTTGCTTCGAAGCTCCGAGATGGTGGTGCAGTTCTGGCATGTTGCACATATAATTTTTGATGTCCTGTCCTCTGGTGTAGGTAGGTAGCCTTCACAGAACTCGCAGTAGTAAAAATCTGTTGAACGCCCGAGCTTCGACGCCAACAACTTTCTAAACAGATACTTGGTACGAGGAAGTACCTCCATTCCACAGATAACATTAATCAGTGACAGCAAGTTGTCTAAACCACTCCACGTTAGGTTCTCAGACGTAACAAACGTCATTACCATGGCCAACACTTCTGCCTTGCTAATGTTGGACATCGGCAGAATTACGTGCCGCAAGCTTTCAAAGCAGCACGCCACAATCTGTGCTGCATCAGGAAACGAGTCGTCCTGAAGGCCTTCATCGGGATCATCGTTCACGTCGCCACGCTCGATGTCCTGCAGGTTATTTGCGTCCACCTCGTTGAACTGTGAGGCATCTGGATACAAAGTTGTAAAGGGTACGTCTTCACTTACTTCTTCAGTCGCTGCACGAGTCGCACTGTCAGTACTCAAGTCCGTTGTAGCAGCTGGATTGTCACTAACGGGCTCGCTAGATTCACGGGGTAGGCTGCTCCGGTAGTGCAGTGTCGATGACGGAACATTAAAAGGTTCATTTGGTTCCAAGTACACCTTCTTGGATCGTTTATTTTGTGGTTCGTCCAACGGCAACTGTTTGGCAGACATAATAGCGCGACTGAACCCCGAACCACTTCGCACTTCCCAAATGTGATGCCGGTGAAGCAGGTGAAGCTAATGGTTGTTTCGTGTTGGATTTGGATTTCACTTCATCGGGTTGCCGTTGGGTGGTTGATAAAAATAGCAAAAACACAAGTCAAAAGTAGATTATAAATGTCGTAAAGCATATTTCAAGTTTTTTTTTAGCAAGAGACGTTTAAAGTTGGGGCTTGCTGTAGAATGCATCGTTAAAAATCGCTGACTGCTCGTATATAATGAATTTTTTATCGAAGTGTTGCCGCCAACGCTAACACTGGTTAGGAACAGACGCGTGCGGCGTGTGAGCGACGCACCGCCGCCGCCGCCGCCGCCGCCGCAGTCACGCCGCTTGCGCCGCTAACCGATTCCACAAATATTATCACGCCGGCGCATCGTAACCGCGGCGTACATTATTGCTTGATATTGGTGTTTTCTTTTTTTAACCATTTTCGTGTTTTATTTGTGCAAGTATTTTTTATGACATTGTTTCTCCTCCGCGCCGCACCGCCGCCGGAGAAAAAAAAACAAAAAAACGCCGGCGCGCCGCCACCGGCAGTTTCTGACCGGTGCTGAATACATGTGCGCTTGTTTACCTAAACGCGAGCAACGTGGTTGTTGCGGCCGTCTCCAGCGCTTATTTCTTTTCAACAGCTAATGATGTTTGCCCATGTACGGTACGTTCAGGACAATATTAAGGCTATTGTTCCAGCGACTTTAATTAGACACTTCAACCCAAAGACTGTTGTCGACTACGACAAAGGGCGTCATTACGAAGCCTACTGGAGGACTGCGACGGGGGATCAAGAAGGCTATTACGCAGCCTTTATCCTTCAGTTGGCAGGTAAGACATTTGTCAACAAATGTTCACGTGAACGAGCGAGAGGGTTTGTTACGGCCACTGGTAACGAACGGTCGTGTAGAAGTAACTATGGTCTTTCAGATTCTCAGTTACATGGCCTGTGTTGCGGGAGGCTCTTGCAGGAGGGATCCGTATCACAGGAGCGAATTATGCTTTAGCGAACAGCGGTCATTTGTGCGATCGACGTTTTAGCAAATCACTGGGGCGCGTGTTAACCCATCCCCCCGCGGCGTTCACGCCGCTTCACGGCGACAGTCTGCGGCGCCTCATTACAAAACGTTAAACCACCTAGCCCACGTAAACACGCACCGCTTTTCGGCGGCCGACCATTCGTAAAGTGTCTCGACAAAAAGTCGGCCTTGGCTTAAACGTCGTACGACCAAGTGTGTGCCACCCAAATCGCGGCCGCCGCAGGCCCTACTTGCAATCGTGTATATACCTCTGAAAGGAGCCGAAAAAATTGGCGTCGGCCCATAGCGAGCTCAAATTTATTGAAATACGTATCGCAGTGGTGAAACGAAATTTACTAAGTTTCAAAGCAATGAATTAAAAGCAATGAATTAATCCCCCATTCCAGCCTAGCACCACCCACTCCACCACTACCCACTTTACCTGTCCCTCCATCCTTCCCCTTTACCAATTCTTTCAACTCCTTGAAAGAATTGGTGAATCAGGTCGCGACCTCGCACTAATTGGCGTGCGCTGATCCCCTGATTCTTTAAAGGGGATAATTCAGAACTCCTTTAAAGTGCCCGTTAGTATGGATATTCATTAGTCCGGCTATCACACTTGCTGTAGAGGTTTCTTAGAAGGGGCTAACTTTTCATGTGCTTATTGTTTATTTTTTGTTTGTTTTCAAAACCAGAAAATCAGCAGGAACTGATAAAGAGCATCTTAAAGTCAAGGGCAACTGCTCTGCCTGTTATCTTCGAGGGCCCCATCAATGACAGTCAGGTAATTCTCTAGTTATATAAGGTGGTTCAAGTCACCAGGCTCGATCTAAAATGGACCGTAAAAATCGACGCCTGCACGTAGCCATCTAAGCTTTATGTCAAAGGTGTCTCTCACAGGTCAGTTTTTTTTTGTTAAATTACAAAGCGTAGTTCTCTTTTAGTAAAAAGTAGGGCCAAGAAACTTGCCGGGGTCTACGGCGGGCGGCAACCCAGACTAAATCCAGTAGCGGGGTGTGTTTGGCGCTCGTATTGATAGATATTGATAGATGGCATCGAGAGCAGCGTCGGAAGGTGCAGCCGACCAGCGAGAGAAAGCAGACGACACGCAGACGAAATCCGTTGGCAGCAAAAGCACCGCCGTTATGCAGACGCGTTTTTTTACTTTAAGTTTGTTTTTATTGTTCGCATTTATTTTTTAACCGAAGGTACATTTCGAAAAGATTATATTCATTTTAATAAACCACGGTGGTCGCGAGCCGTCCACCGTGGTAAAAATCGACGCCTGCACGTCGCGATAAGAAGGCAGCGCCATCTATCAATACGAACGCCAAACACACCCTGCTACCGGACCACTGTCGTCTGCATTGCTGCCCGCCGTAGACCCTGGCAACTTTCTTGGCCTTATTTTTTACAGAAAGAGAGCTACGCTTTGTAATTTTACAAGAAAAAACCAACCTGTGAATTACACCTTTGACGAAAAGTTTAGATGGCTACGTGCAGGCGTCGATTTTTACGGTCCATTTTAGATCGAGCCTGGTGACTTGAACCACCCTATGTGTGTCATGGTACAGTTGTAACAGATTGGTTTTACAGGCAACCAGCACAAGATCAAGACGAGAGCAGATGTCTGCCCAGAGGGCTTCACGCAAAAAGGAGATGACCGACATTCTGAGCAGGAAAAAAAGGGCGGCACCGAGTGTCGACAGCAGTGAGGATGATGACGAAGGGGTTGTCCCTGAGAAGCTGCTAAGAGTTGAAAGGGAGGCTAACGGTGATCTGGAGAGAGAATTGAAACGTGTGAAGACGGAGCTAGCAGCTACAAAGAAGGAGCTGGAGGAGGAGCGGCAGTTAAGGAAAGCTTTGTCCTGGACCCTCCTCTCTAAGTTTGGTATGTGCACTTTGGGATGAATTGGCTTGTTTATAGTTGTTTTAAAAAACTGCAGATTTCTTAAGTCTTAATATTTATAGATGTTCATCCAGGAGCTAATGTCCAAGTCAAGGGACCACGAGCTCAAGCAGAGGCAGCTCCTGCACCACTAAGCGTTTCAAGTGCAAGGACCAGCGTGCTGGGGTAATTTGTTTAACTTTCCTTATGAAATATTTTAATGTTCGGAGTAACTCCAGTATGCCTTTATTTTTATGATAGCCGACCCAGTGACCAGGTTCCCAGGAATCGACCACCAATCAGCGATGTCTCCGCTCGGGCCTTGGTGAGAAATTGCTGTTTATGAAAAAGCAGGTTCATCTCTGATACATCTTGAACAGAATATTGATGATTTATTGTGTAAAGATGTGTTTGCCGGAGAACACCTTACTTGACCCTATGCTCTATTTGACATATTCTTTTCGGTACTGATGAAGGTGTGGGTGGGAACGAGTCGAACAGCAAAATGCTTTGCATACATGACTACTGGCATGTAGAAAGTGCTTTTGAAAACCATGTCCTTGTGCCTGTGGTTTTGCCAGTACTGGAAACAACTTCAAGTAGAATATAGTTTGAAGTGGTTTTATTGTGTACTTTGTTATGGCAGGTGCCGTGCATGGAGGGAGAGGAGCCCTTTCCTGAGCACCTGCATGAGCACCTGCATGAGCCCCTGCCTGAGCCCCTGCCTGAGCCCCTGCCTGAGCCCCTGGCTGAGCACCTTCCTGAGCGTCTTCCTGAGCCCTGTCCGGAGCCCCGCCCGGAGCCCCATCTGGAGCCCCCTCCTGAGCCCCGTCCTGAGGACCTCGGCGAGGATTTTGCAAACAGGTCATCAACTCCACTATTCCAGGAACACGAAGGACAGGTTGGTATCTAAGTCAGTTTTAAGCACTCTTCGCTAAATTGAAGGGATACAGCATTTGCACATTACTAACATGCTTTTTTCACCCCAAAGTATATACTCAAAATTATGTGTGCGTTCGAATCAAAATTGAAAACAAAAACTAAAAGAACAAAGCACAGAATCATGGTGTAAGGTGGCCAGCCCCATCACCATAGACATGACGTTTTTGTGGTCGCCTCTGTAATAGCGAGTTTGTTTGACACATCGACATAAGTTTTACCCTGAGACCTGGTTCACTTGACGAGTGTACCACAATGCTTTTGCTATCTCTGCTGTGGTACGTGTGCCAACTATGAACCAAAACAAACTTGCTGTTAGGCTACGTAGCAGGCAGAAATGCAACAGTGGAGTGCCAGTTGTTTCTATTTGCGACGAAAAATGTGGTGAACAACCATTCTATTAGAGATTTTTTGACATAATTTTTGGCAGCACTTACGAAACGCGCACAGACGCCGATTTTGGAAATATGAATATTCTGCTTTGCGGCCTTATACCCAAAACAAGTTATTGAGCAATCCTGCTAACGACGCTCTGCATGGCTGATCTAAGCACTGTGCTTCTCACCTTATGATAGACCGCAATGTAGGTAAATACAGTGTAGACTGCATATAACGTATGTCGCGAAAATCCGCACTATAAGCGGTACCGCACTACTATAACCAAAACATAAATTTTTCAGGCCAAAAATGCAAGCCATCAGACAACCTACCTTTGTAAAAGAATTTATTTTATGTTAGATGAAGAGGAAAGTCGTTATTTCACCAGACTAGTACACTTCTCTCGCTTCTCTCTCAAGTGTGTCACACATTTTGAAAGAAATAAGCGACTTTTGTCTGACGCAGCCTTTTAACGGCGTCGCGGGTTGCGGATGGACGTTGCGAGTGTTCAGGATTGCTAACCCTAATCACTTTTCTCCGGTGATGAAAACGCGTGAAAATTCGCATCATTTATACGGTACGCGCCAGTAATACCTTCATTTTGAGCACAGGCATGAAATGCTCCAAATAAGAAATCCGGGCGATGTTCGAAAACACAAATGCTTAGAAATCACCACTGTAGTCGAAGTAAACAACACGACAACATGAGCGTTTCTGCCGTCTTGAGAGTGCTGCCACGACATCGCCGCACGAGTCGGTGGATCTTCCCTTCTAGTACGTGCTAGGTTATCATAGCGACACACAACGAAAATTCACAGTCAAGGATAGCGCTTTTACGCGGAACAATGAGCTTCCACCACGCTATGCTAGCCACCATAACCACGCCGTCTACGTCGACAATTACAACTGCCGCCATGTTTGCGGATAGAAGCAGCCGGCCCGCGACCGGCATGCAACGCGCGCGAACACTTCTCCTCGACCTGCAATTGGTCTGTCGTTGCGGTTGTTCTCCAACGCAGCGGAGGGGCGCACGCACGTGAACGACACATGCGTGCGTCCCTCCGTTGCTATGGTGACTGAATCCTCTCTCTTTGCTTCTCCCCGCTTCTTCGAGCAACCTCCTTGCCCCGCGTCTTGCCCCGCGAGTGCCACTTGCGGCTAGCGCCGTTATCTAGTGTCGCACAGGGAAGCGTGCTCGCTGCGTTGGTCGGTCGGCGGGCGGTTCCAGAAACCGCACTATAACCGGTATTTCCCTTCGCGTGCCTGCATCTTAAGCGGTATGCAATTACATGGAGTTCTATGGGAGGTGAACCGGTGGTTTAAAAAAGCCGCGTTATACCCGGTCCTGCACTATAAGCGGTTACGTTGTAAGTGGTCTATACTGTAGTATGAGCTCCTAGCTCAAGAATGCAGCTAAATTGCACAAGCTGCCATCATGCTTTTATCCTTAGCTACGGCCTAATGTAAGGTGAAACAGATTCTGTCGTCATAGCAATGATGCTGTTCATATAATTGACGCAATTCAGTTAGCTTCTTAAGCTATTGATCTCTTGAAGGAGCTCTTCAACTTCGCTGGTGGAGAAAGTAGACCCAAGTAGCGCTGCTAGGGGTGCTAGATTACCCGACATTATCACCTCAACTTGTGCTGTTCATCACTATCGACTTTAGTGTGCAATGCATGCTGGGATGGCGATCTGGTGCAAGCAGCTGCAGTACTCCGCATGTGCTGGCCTTAAAATGGACTCGGCAAGTGCAGCCACTCGGGGAGTGCCGGCTGAAACGAAACTTGTTGAATGGAGTCGAACAAACTCGCTACAATATCCGCTTCACCAGCACGTCAAACTTGCTCTTTTCGGATTCTTGTTTTAAACCTTAAGCTGCAGTTTTATTATGTAAAAGAAAGAATTTTATTGGAGGTTTCTTTAAACAATGATTGCATTGGCAAATGTGCACAAAAAAAAAATTGCAATGTGTGTATGTTCATACATTTTAGAACTTAGTCTGCCTCAATGGGCGACTTGTTTCCCACTGTAGAGGAGAAATTTAGCCAGTGCAGTACAACGACTAGCCTGGGGTCTTCAACGCGTACCACATAGTAGTGATACACGACCACACGCCGGTACAATGCTCATCCAGATCGAAACGGGCAGGGGTGCAACTGTACTTAGAATCCCTGGGTTCTGCAGCGCTAGTTTTCGCTCCACGTGGTCTGAGCTGGTGTGCACTGGCCCACTCGGCCACCGATCCCCTCGGAAAATGTGCAACATCGCAAAGTTTGAGTTTCATGAAACCTTGTATGAACAATGTGTTGTTTAATCCTAAATCTGCGAAGTAGAATCTGGTATTTTCCTCATTATACCGTTGCATTAAAATTTGGGACGTGGCAGGATCATACGTATATGGTAAACAAAACCCCTTGCAGTTCTCAATTATGTTTAATGGCTAGCGATATACTCAGGTGTCGGAGGAAAATATTTTATCTACAGTCGAATCTCATTAATTTAAACTTAAGGGGGGCCGAAAATTTGTTTGAATAAAGCAATGTTTGTATTACCAGGAGTTACCTCCCATAGAGATGCATAGGATGGGACCTGCATGTTAGTTTGAATTAAGATAGTTTGAATTAATGAGATTCGACTGTAGTAGTATTAAAAAAAGGTAGCCCTTTTCATTCTTTCACATATCATTAGCTTGTGAACACCTTATGATGAGGTGATCATCTCTTCGCACCTTTATTTAAAGGACTGTCGTGGCTTGAATTGACTTGTTGTCTGCTTCTTAAAAGTTACGATGCATATCTTGTAGGCTATGTTCAACAATGTTCTGTTTCCAGGTTCATGTGGGGTGCAACATTCTCATACCATGTAGCAAGTTGAAGTTCGTGTTCAAAGCTACGTGCGATTCGAAGTGTGCCAAAGATGCATCGAGGACGATCTGGACGACGCCTCAACTACTTGAACGAAGTGTGAGCGGCAGGCCCTGCAACAGGTTCAAAAAACTGGGTGCTCAGGGGAAGATTCCGATGACGCCGGAAAAGAAGATTGCTGTTCGCAGTAAGATAATTACTTTCTAAGATGCTTGCAGTGACTGTCAGCATAGAAATGATGTGCTCTCTAGTGGTTGTGTGCTTTCTACTGGTTCTGTCGTAAAAAAAGCGTGGGGAAATTGGGAAAATTGACATTGCTCCTCAGGTGCATTGCTGATTTCTCCAATCATGTGCTGAATTAAGAGGCTTACGTTTGCAGTGAGGTCTATAAACTGTGTAATACATAGAAATATCTCCACTTATCAGTTACCTTTTATTGCATGATAATGCCACATTATCATGAAAACCGTTTTAGCTAAACATAAAGCTTGCTTTCTTGAAAAGAAGAGTTTAGCAGCGCTCTATGCTTTTAGAGTTTAAAAGACTTGCAATTACACTAGATGTTCGTTAATCTATACTTGACAAAACCACAGATTTTTGTTTGAATTATCACAACTTCATTTTTGTGTTTTATACGAACCGCAAGGATAGTTTGTCAGCTTTTTTTCGCAGGATCAGTTCACTTATTGGCAGATTGGAGCTCCGTGCACGCTTAAAGGGATACTGAACTGAAATTTTGAGCTCGCAAAACAGGGCTGGAGCGATAGGCGGGATGCTGCAGAATCCAAAAACACCATTCATACAGTGTTTAACGGATGGCCATATTTTTTTTTCAAAGAAATGCGCGACTGAACACGGCCGGCGAGGCATGGGGCATTACGATTCTATTCTCATTCCCTGTCCTCCTCGCTTCGTCCCGTCGAGCTGGTGAACTGAAGCGAGGCCGCTTCCCCTCATTCTGAACCGTTTGAATATAACCGTGATGCCACATTCCTCACTTGATTGCTCCCTTCTTTTTCAAAAATACGGCCATCCATTTGAGATATCGATCTCTGAGTGATGTTTTGGAATTCGTAGTGTCCCGTTCAATGCTTCTGCAGCTTTATTTTGCGAAATCCAAGTTTCGGTTTTCAAGCTGTGGGTGTGCCGTTACCCTAAGGCTTTTTTGATCCAGTACGAATCGGCTTGCGTTGCTCAAAAGCTTGTCCTTCACTTTGAAAATGGTAGTCAGGATACTCCTAGTAATCCCATGTTTCAGTGCCACTTCTTCACTTCCGAATCAACTTCTCTCCCATCGCAACCAATTTCTCCTTTACGGAGAGAGTTTGGTATTTACCTCGCAGCGACATGATGAAAACTTTGCCACAGCCAATGAGGGAATGTGTGGTGCGTTACACTACGGTGCACGCATGTAGCCAGGATTATGTTTGGGGGAGGGGAGGGAGGGAGGGAGGGAGGGAGGGAGGGAGGGAGGGGAGGGGAGGGGAGGGGAGAGGAGGCTCCAGCAAAATGGAAGATTTCCGAGGGGGCCCGGGCCCCATGGGCCCTCCCCTGGCTACGTGCCTGCTACGGTGGCTGCAAAGTAGCAAATACTGCAAAGGCGGGTCACATGCTTCAGAGTCGGCCTTCGGCAGCACGCTGGGAAAAGCAGATGTGGCCAAGTGTCACTTTCGTACCCGAGGACGTTTTTTTTTTTCTTTTCCTCGCGTCAACACACGATTGTGCATTGCCGTGTTCTGTCGCCAGAGTAGTCCAAGTGGTTTTGACCACTTAAATAAGTGCAGGATGGTGATATGCTTTATTTTCGACTATTTTTAGGTGAAATAAGAATGCAAATGCTCAGCTAGTGGCGGCAAAGGCAGCCCATATTTGTCGGTGCAAACAAGCAGAAGTATGAATTAACTCAATGGTCTAGTTTGAAGTAAGCTGAAAACATAAGGGAAAAACTAAAAATTTGATTTTTGTTTGAATTAATTGAAAGTATGAAATGTCCGAGATTTAATTATCGCTAGTCTTCTGTATGCCGATTCCAGAGTCAATTAAACTAAGAAAAAAACGAGTAGATTTCGACTGGGTTCTAATTTCTGTTTTTGTTTGTTTTCAGACATGTTGGAGAAGTACATACGCGACCATCCAACACAACAAGAGACCAAAATAATGCTGGACAAAGAATTGAAGCCAGAAGAGAAAGCAGTCGCTACTGCTAAAATTCGGGCCGACCGGCTGAAGAATACAAACAAGTATATCTCTGAGCTGGTCAATGACCTAACGAAGAAGTAAGTCGTTTATATCTTTGTGTCAGTATTCCATGCGGAGAGCAAGTCGTGTGCTTTTTGCTCAGGAGTAGCGGGGATGTCAGAATGATGTGGAGCTCTTATTGACTGATAAAAAAGATAGTGGGTAGACCTCAATGCTAGATGCCTTGAGGTCTACCCACTACTTTTTTCAATGAGCCAATAAGAGCTTGGCTTTCTGATATCATCGCAACCCCTGCCCAAGAAGCAGACGACTTGTTCTGTGCATATATCTTAAACTTGCTAAAATGAGTGGTGAGCTGCATGTTAGAATAATCCTTTCGGTACAACTAACAAGGTCAGGTGCATTACTCTTAAAGTGTGTATCTACAATTTGGAGCTGGTAAACATTAAGTATGTTTCTTCTTTATTATTTGACTTCTGAAGATATTGGCACTTAGCAAAGAGCCGGCTACTCCAGTAATACATTTTTGCAGACACCTTATTTCTTTCATGAGTCACAACCACCTCGAAACAGCCCTCGATACAAAGCAGGGTTGTGTCGACTTTTGTCCAAACGGCATGCATCTATTCATAGCTTTCTCTACTGGACGCATGTGCAGTGTATGTTATTAAGCTCCTTGACAATTACAGATGCTTGATTAATGAACCGGGTGTTAGGTTTGATTCAAGCAAAATATTTATGCACACTCAGCCTAAAACGATATAACGCGGGAAGTCGAATCTTGTCCACAATACATGTGGTCAAAGCTCAGATTTTCAGCTGGTCTTGTGAATGTTTGGTTGGGCCGTGGTGAGTAATGGATACGGAACATCATAAGTTGTCAGCAAGAAAACAAATGTAAGCAAAATATTGGCTGGTTGTTTGTCCAAGTGGTTTTGTTGAATCCGGCGAGCAGCATTGACGGAAGCGAAGCAGTTGGTGTTAGAAGGTACTAATGTCTGGGAAATAACCCATGCACTACTCTCATAACTACACTATTATAGTGAACTCACAAATTTGCCATCAAATGAAGAGGACGCTGCCAAAGGTTTGCAATGTGCAAGCATTCGAAATAGAAGTGCAATTTAGACAGCCCAATCTGCTTACCACTTCCTTCGTTTACGGGGGCAGATACGCAAATGAAAAATGTATGATTGGTTAACTAGTAACATGGACCTGCATATACCACATAAACTAATGTAATCAAAACTTTTTTATTTTACGATTGCAAACGGGGCTGCCGATGCATAGGGTTATCTTAGGACTCTACATTCCTCGTGGATCAGGCAGCAGTTTGTTTAATGCAAAATTACAATTAACTCATTTTCAATGTGTGTTCTCTTTCCAGACACAGAATCAAGCGAGCCCTTCTTGCAGAACAGAGTGAGGTAGGAGCCTAATATGCTTTATTTCTTTTGTGGAAGCAATTCAAGGCTGCAGGTAGCATGGTGGTTTGGTATTAAAGGACACATGCAAAGGAAAAAAAAACATTTTTTTTTAAACAGCTTAGATGGAAAAAGGATATCATAAAACAATTTTACAACCAAGAAAAAAATTTTTTAGGACTATATTTACGGCGCCATACGAATTTGTACTTGGCGCCGGCTGGCGCCGCAGGAAAGTGGCCCTTGACGGGCCCATATTTGTCACGTGGTGCTTGCGCTCTTTCGGAAGCTTCCTATGGCTTCTAAAAGTAACTTATTCATCTTTGTTTGACGTATAACAAAAAACTAAGATAGATAAGTAACTTTTATAGCCCAAAGGAAACTCCTGAAAACGCGCAGCAGACGTGGTAGACCTGTGCGCCGGTCAGATGACGGCAGCGGCACCCCGAAGCAGACAAACTTGTGTGGCGGCGGCGACGGCGGCGTAAAGAAACTCGTTGAAGCGGCGTTCGCACAACGCTGAGCGTGCGGCGGCGACGCAGCGCGGCGGCGCGCGGGCCTACCACGTGACCAGCGGTGGCTCCCGCGAGCGCCAATTACAAATTCGTATAGCGCCAAAAATATAGCTCTAAAATTTTTTTTTCTTCGTTGTAAAATCGTTTTATGACATCCTTTTTCATCTAAGCTGTCTAAAAAAAAAATGTTTTTTTCCTTTGCATGTGTCCTTTAAGATCTGCTGAAAAAAAACTAGGTTTTGTCACTTATATTTCGGTGTCTCAGTTACAAACACAGCAGTATTGATCAGGAGTTCTGAAACAAAGTTCCATCGAACACGATTTTGGCGATTGCTCTTCAGGGTTTCGCGAACATTTTAATTGAAAATTCACTGATTACATGTGTCAAGCTTCACTTTAATCTTAGGGGGTGAACGCTGCCCGTTTTTCTCTACTTATTTTTGTGACCGCCATTGCTTGGAAAGAAAAGTTGTCTGTTTTTTGGGTTCAAGGACTCATCCTATGTAGTATTTAACGAAAGCTAAAAATTTGTTGCATCGTCACTTTAGCTGTGAAATAAAACTTGAACATCAATTTTGTGTATAACTGCTTGCACACTGGAAACGAAAAGCTTGTGGCATTGCGAAAAGCAGGGGGGGGGGGGGGGGGTACCTCCACTATTTGGTGGGTTGCAGGGTACCAGAGTTTGGGAAGCATTGCTCTAGGGAATTCATTCTTGCCCTCAGTGTGTTTGTATATTTTGCAGTTGCCTGGCAGTGATTGTGCCTGAAAACACAGAAAAGAAGAGGTAGGTTTTTCTTGGAGAGCTTACTGCCTTCTCAGAACTCTTTCTTGTAGCTATGTAACCTTGCAATAATGTTGATGCTCACAGTTCACTGGCAACAGCACGCCAAAGGTGTTGAAACTATTTTTGCTTCCTAGCCTCTCTTCATAGACTCGGAAGTGGCACCAGTGTTTAGACAGGATCAGAGTAAGGCAGTTTTTCTGCCTTGTTTTTGGAGCTGCTGATGCCAACATTGGTTCCCATTCAAAAAATAATATTCTGATCTAATGTAATAGTAATCTGACAGGCACATTTTAGATGCATGGGATAATTTGCTACTAGCTCTGATGCAGCAAGTGTCCAATGTTGACTATACTTTTTCAGGTGTCAAGTGAAAGAGGACAATAAAACGAGGTTTTGTTTATAAATTAAGCTTTTGTTGTTTGTTGCATTTTTTGCAAGGCTTGTAAGCCAAGCACAACTGCTACACCTTGCCACAGATCGGACGCAGAGGCAATTCATCTACACATATGGACGTCTCGCACTGATACAGATCCCGAATGTTGAGTGGGTGCTGTATATGGGCCACAAATGGTAAAACGATCTCGCATTTTTACGGATTTTGAATAGGTATATCGGTCCCACACATTTATACAGGACCCATATAAATGTATATGGGTCCCATATATTTATACAGAACCTGTATAAATGTATGGGTCCCATACATTTATACGGGTCCTGTATAAATGTATGGGTCCTGTACATTTATACGGGTCCTGTATGAATGTATGGGTCCTGTATATATCTATGGGACCCATATCCAATAGGCTGGTAAAAATATTTATACGGGACCCATTAGAAATTTTATACAGGATTTTCCAATAGGGAATTCATACAGATTTTCAAGGCATGAAAATCACTCCAACAAGCCTCAGGGACAGGGAACCCCAATAGACAAAAGGTATGTTCGTGGTAACTTTTTTGTAAAGTGCACTTGATTGTTGGCCAACCTATCAAGCTTCCTGAATATGTAACCATCAGCATGCTAGGTTCTGTCGTAGTGATCTATGCAGTCTAATCTACAATCAACTGTGATGTAAAACGAGAGTGGCTGGGGCAAAGAGAATTACAACAAAAACAAAAGGATAGTAGGAGCAGCCCTCTGCAATATTTCATAGCCCTGTTTCTCTTCTGCAAGTTCATGTGTTGTGACGAGACAAACTAATGTGTTCTTACATTGTCCTGTGCAGATCCTGAGAGGATAGAGAACACACATACAGCAAAAATGAGAAAGAGCAATGAAGTGGCTGGTCCATCCCATGGGCATCACAGGATCTCGGTGGCCACACCAAGAAAACCTGGTTCAACTCGTGGTCCAACTTGACGGTGCAAGCGACAGGTATCGGAAGCTCTTCAAGAGGCCAAGAGAAATGGGAAATACCAAAGTGGTCTACAGAGAGCTAGATCTACACATTATTAGGTCTCTAAAGATTTTGGTTCAAGTCTGTAAGTAAGCAACGAATAAGTTTGCCCGAGTTACAATTCATTGTGTTAACTGTTTATTTGCATGGACCAGTCAGAATGACACAAGCTTTCAACTAGGCATGAAATCTTTTGGCTGTGCTTCTTGAGACCCTCGAGAGACAATGTTGTCCACTGCGTCAGCAGGTTGCTCCTTGCGCGATTTTTATGGAGCAAGATCATAGACTAACAGAAGCCTCTGAGCATCCACTTTATTTAGACACGTTGTTAGCCTGCTGGTGGCCAACAACCTCTAGGCAGTTTTCTTTTTAGGGTGAGAGGGCAAGGGGGGAAATATCTTAATGTAGAAAACTCGAGACTGTGGTAAAAGCAAGGAAACGGAGTCGAAGAAGAAAGACAGGGGAAAAGAACGTTGAGACATTCCTTTCCCCTGTCTTTCTCCTTCGACTCCGTTTCCTTGCTTTTACCACAGTCTCGGGTTTTCTACATTATGATCAACATCCACCAGCTCGCCTGCGCACTCACAGTTTTTTCATGGGAAATATCTGTTGCTTCGAACCAGTGACTCCAGGACCTTTGGCAGCTAGAATTCAAACAACGTATTTGGAGAGTTCCACTCTTTAAGATCTCAAGTTTTGGTGGACAATATCTGACCCACTAAAATTTTGCATTATTGTCTTATTACACAGGTTGAAGAATTGATGTTTTATCGTAACATACGTGCAAGTTGGTATTTGAGAATCCACAACCTATAACCATTTAAATATCTTCTTAGACATACCTCACCGCAGGCACGTAGCCAGGATTTTGTTTCGGGGGGGGGGGGGGGGGGGGAGGGGGCCCACTCATGACAAAATGCTGTATGGGGGGGGGGGAGAGGAGGTCCTAACAAAATGGAAGATTTCGGGGGGGGGGGGGGGGGGGCAGGCCCTACGGGCCTCCCCCCTGGCTTTGTGCCTGCCTCACCAATAGGGCTGTTTGCATACAATTGTTCGGCAAGGCTGCATATTTACTTCACACTGGGTTTGCTTCTATGTAACACATATCATAAATTATGATTATTGTGAAAAGAGTCAAAGTACAGGCTAGCTGGTGGAAGTCAACCATTTCGTCGTTTACCCTGAGACTGGGCAAACGCCAGTCTCAGGGTAAACGACGAAATGGATGATTATTGTGTTTTCATGTCACGGAAACAGACATTTCTGTTTGCTGTTACAGTATTTTCTCTTTAATATGGACATCTCCAGTTTCCAAAACAATTCTCCATAATGTTGGTCATCCATAATCTTGGATCCCTGCCAAGATCACAAAGAATAAACAATGAAGGTGGTATGCTGTTTATTTTTGTCATCTGCAACTGGGAAAGGGAAAGAACTGCAAGTGATTCAGGCTGGAAACCCCTGAAAATTGTAACCATTGAGTCACCATAGTCATATCTGACAATTGTGCAGCTCTGGGTAAATTCCGTAACTGAGCAGCTTTACTATTCTCTTTTGAAAATGATTATGATGATTAAAAAGCGCGACAGGACAACGGACACAGAAGGAGACACAGTGCTGTGTCTCCTTCTGTGTCCGTTGTCCTCTCGCGCTTTTTAATCATGAATCACCAACTCGCCCAACTTTCTACCCTCGTCGTTCTTTTTTGCCTCACTATTTCCCCCCCCTTTCCCCCCCATTTTTTGCGTTTGTCTTTACAGAGATCACAATAAAAAGATAAAAAAACGTGTATTTATCCATTTCGCTCCCAAGCTAGCTGTCCATAGTACGTACTTCGTGTTTCTTTATTTAACGCGACGAGTTAGAATTGTATGGGGACACATATCAGTCCCCGAAAATGACATTTATAGCGGCGTGACCGAAACGATCGACCATGTTAGCGAGACATGACTATTGTGTTTTTCAATCGCGAAGACCGATATTCTCGCGCCATAGTTGCGTCTGAGGTTTACGAAACTATAAGTAGTCACTTGGCGAACTAGCGCCGATAGCCTTTCAAAGTGAAAAAGCTATGTCATGTTCGAGCTAACAGTGTCGCACATTGTATCTTCACTGTAGCACCTCTTGCTAACGTAGATACTGCGCTCATTATTAATTTTTTTCCGCATAGCAACGCTTGTATAAAGTGACAGTGTAAATTGTTTTTTCTTGTCATGCAAATGACTGAATAAATGCGTCAACGAGTGCGAAAAATGCTGCATCTGTTTCGATTCCCTGGAAAACGCCGACGACAAGTAACGGTCTGTCAACTGCTGGACACAAGGTAGGCTAGCAGAACTTACAATTCTTTGCCATAACACGTGGTATGGCACGCGCGAACCGTAAATTTCCAAACAAAACCTACCGCGGTACCGGCGGTACCACGGTAGGGAGCAGCGGCAGGGCACGGCGGAAGGGCTGCGCCATGTTGGATTTTGAGCGGCTTTGTCTTCACAAACGGCTAGGAAGCCGCTCCAGCTAGCTCGACGGCGTCAAAAGTAATTATTAATACGTTAGCGCTTCATTTTATGGACATAATTATCGCTGCTTATTTTAGTTTCGCAATCTATTAATGGAGCAATGAGGCTTCGATTCGTTACAGTAATGAGCGCCTCCGACCACGGAAGCGCTGCTGAGCGCCCAGTTTTCCTAGAAATCGACTCCATTGGGTCTATGGCAGTGTCCGGGCACTGCTCTGGCCACGTGTGCCATTAAGCGGTCTGGCTGGCGAGCTTGCAGTGCCTGCCTCCGGCGTTGCAGGATCGTTCTGCGTGGTTGGAAAGTCGTCACTGGAAATCGGAGACGATGAACCGTTTCGCTGGCTGATGCCGCGGGGAGGGGCGAACTTTTTCGATGTTTTTGCGCCCTTGAGGCTATCGTCTTGGTTTGGAGATATTCCCTCCACCTCCTTGGGTACAGGTCGCAGCTGTTCAATGTGCCGTTTCCAGGTATTTCCGTCGTTCGTGCGAATCTCATATGTTCGATTTCCCAGTACTCGTACGACGACTCCTTTCGACCATTTCTTGCCATTCCTGTAGTCTCTTGCCCAGACCTGGTAGTTCTGATGTAGGTGTCGTTCTTTCGAGTTGCGCGAGGCGTGCTGCTTCGCCTGTTTTGATCGCACGACATCCGTTATTGATGTTCTAAGAAGATCGAACCTTGTGCGAAATTCGTCTCCTGTCATCATTTTGGCAGGAGTTGAGCCAGTTGTCGTGTGCGGGATTGTCCGGTATGCCACCAAGAAGTTATGGCATGCCTCTTCCATGGTCAGCCCCGACTTCAGGCTTGCGTTGACAGACTTCTTGAATGTTCCCACGAAGTTTTCTGTCGCACCGTTCGTTGTGGGATGGTTCGGGGGTGAGAATGACTGCTGAACTCCGTTTCTTGCCATCCATCCATGGTGAGTCTTAAAACTTTAGACAACACAGTGTCCTTTTGTGTCTCTCGGCTGATCTGCTTATGTGTCAGTGGTAGTGCTTGAAACTTTTCTAGATGGAGACATTTGATTTCGTCCATTCTTGTAGTTTCTGATTTTATAGTGCCCTTGTCAGTCATTGGGAGTCTCGACAGCGTGTCTGCGACTACGTTCTTATCAGTCGACACGTACTTTATGTCGAAGTCATACCCTGACAAGATGATTGCACATCGCTGCATTCTTGCTGCGACCGTGCCTGGGATTCCCTTACTGGGATTGAAAATCGATACCAGGGGTTTGTGGTCCGTCCACAGCGTGAAGTGGCGTCCAAACAAATACTGGTGAAATTTCTTTACGCCCTCAACTAGACTCAACGCTTCTTTGTCAATCTGAGAGTAGTTTCGCTCACCTTTAGAAAGCGTTCTTGACATGAAGGCGATCGGCCTCCGTTGCTTGTTGGGTAGTACGTGTTGAAGTACTGCACCAATGCCATGGCTCGATGCGTCACAATGTAGTTCCAGAGGAAGCGCAGGGTCATAGTGCACTAGCAGACTCTG